TATCCACGGCCGATGCTTGCTGCCCCGGCGCCATCCGCACTCGCCAACTCACGGCGACGGAAATCCTCTTGAAGGATCGCTCGCTTCACGTCTTCGAGCGAGAGGCGGGGCAAGTCACGATTGAGGTTGATGATGAGAGAGGACCATGACTCTGGGAGTAAGGCCAGTAACTTGGTCTTCTTTTGGAGCTCACTGTAGTTCAAATCAGCTCCCTCAAGCCGCGTCAACAAGTCAAAGAATTTCTCCACCCCTTCTTCAACCGCTTCGTCTTCTTCAATTCGTAGTGCCGCCATTTGCCGTTCCAACACCACCGCTACCGCCGCTGTTGCAGGAGCATGTACACTCTTGAGAGCAGCCCATGCCTTTGGTCCCTTCTCTGGTTCACGCTGGAATGGCTTGATGTGACGGATCTGGCTGCTCCCTAACGCTTGCCCAAGTAGGAGATAGCCTTGTGCGCTCTTCCGCACCCACGGGCTCTTCTCCGGGTCGTTCTCGGGGCGCTTCTCCGTTCCTTCCATCACCTCCAGCAGGTCATAGTGGTCAAAGATGTTCTCCATATTGAAGGACCATTCAGCAAAGTTGTCACCGTTGAACTTGTCAAGCCCAAACACCCTAGGCTCATCCCTAGGTGGGCCAAGACTTGGTTGCATGGGCGCCATGGCTGAATCACGGAGTTGGCCTTGAGCTTGAGCTTCTCCACTGCCACCAGCACCTCTGCCACCCCTTTTCTCAGGTCCAGCCATTGTCGAAACTGCTCCAAGGGGCTCTGATACCACTTGTTATAGTCACAATAGGCTTGAATGTGCCTAAAACGAAAGATAGAGAGCACAGACGGATTTCTGAACAGCGGCTTCAAACGTTGATAGCGTTCTGCTCACAGCTGAAAATGACTTGATTCAAATTGGATCTGGAGCGTCTACAATAAGCAATTTAGATTGCACGATTTGATAAAGACTTGACGACACAGCGTTGGTTTGAACGAACGGTACTATGGCAGCCACTATAGTCTTAGAACACAAGATAGGAAGAGTTACGAGTTGGGAATGACTCCCAGCTCCTACAAACCCCAAGAGCCGAGGTACAGTGATGTGGAACAGTGCCACACTGTCCCCAACCACGAAGGGTCTCGAAACTATTCTCCACAAGGGCCTACACCAAGAGAAATGTTACACTGAACAAAGTAATGCAACTATTCTCACTATCTTAAAGTTTACCCTTTTGGAGAGCTTCGAAATCACTTGATTCTTGAAACCAAGGCTCTGGTTCTTCAAGGTAAATTCTTCCTTGAGTTCTTGGAAGTCTGCTGCGCACACCTGCGACACGCCGAACGTTCCACACACGACAAAATAGAAAACCGCACACGACACGCAAACGACGACGTGACACGCGACTAGCGATAACTCGCTATTGACTCGACACACACATTCAAAATCATGCCTCATCATTCACACACTATTGTAAGCATGAAATTTATATTATTTCATGCCCTCATACCATTCCATGCATACACGCATGCACGCACACGGACAACAAGCCGAATGCAAACCGTAGGCTTGCACCAACAGCCCCTAGGCCCCTCGGCCCCACCTCAGAGCCTGGCGCCCGGCCCCCCGGCCCCTACTTGGCCCCTCGGCCCCCCCCTAGGCCCCTTGTTTGGCCCCTCGGCCCCCTAGGCCCCTCGGCCCCCCCAAGGCCCCCCCGGCCCCTTGTTTGGCCCCGCGGCCCCTAGGCCCCTCGGCCCCACCTCAGAGCCTGGCGCCCGGCCCCCCGGCCCCTACTTGGCCCCTCGGCCCCCCCCTAGGCCCCTTGTTTGGCCCCTCGGCCCCCTAGGCCCCTCGGCCCCCCCAAGGCCCCCCCGGCCCCTTGTTTGGCCCCGCGGCCCCTAGGCCCCTCGGCCCCACCTCAGAGCCTGGCGCCCGGCCCCCCGGCCCCTACTTGGCCCCTCGGCCCCCCCCTAGGCCCCTTGTTTGGCCCCTCGGCCCCCTAGGCCCCTCGGCCCCCCCTAGGCCCCCCCGGCCCCTTGTTTGGCCCCGCGGCCCCTAGGCCCCTCGGCCCCACCTCAGAGCCTGGCGCCCGGCCCCCCGGCCCCTACTTGGCCCCTCGGCCCCCCCCTAGGCCCCTTGTTTGGCCCCTCGGCCCCCTAGGCCCCTCGGCCCCCCCCCAAGTCCCCCCCGGCCCCTTGTTTGGCCCCGCGGCCCCTAGGCCCCTCGGCCCCACCTCAGAGCCTGGCGCCCGGCCCCCCGGCCCCTACTTGGCCCCTCGGCCCCCCCCTAGGCCCCTTGTTTGGCCCCTCGGCCCCCTAGGCCCCTCGGCCCCCCCAAGGCCCCCCCGGCCCCTTGTTTAGCCCCGCGGCCCCTAGGCCCCTCGGCCCCACCTCAGAGCCTGGCGCCCGGCCCCCCGGCCCCTACTTGGCCCCTCGGCCCCCCCCTAGGCCCCTTGTTTGGCCCCTCGGCCCCCTAGGCCCCTCGGCCCCCCCTAGGCCCCCCCCGGCCCCTTGTTTGGCCCCGCGGCCCCTAGGCCCCTCGGCCCCACCTCAGAGCCTGGCGCCCGGCCCCCCGGCCCCTACTTGGCCCCTCGGCCCCCCCCTAGGCCCCTTGTTTGGCCCCTCGGCCCCCTAGGCCCCTCGGCCCCCCCCCAAGTCCCCCCCGGCCCCTTGTTTGGCCCCGCGGCCCCTAGGCCCCTCGGCCCCACCTCAGAGATTGGCGCCCGGCCCCCCGGCCCCTACTTTGGCCCCACGGCCCCCTAGGCCCCTTGTTTGGCCCCTCGGCCCCCTAGGCCCCTCGGCCCCCCCAAGGCCCCCCCGGCCCCTTGTTTGGCCCCGCGGCCCCTAGGCCCCTCGGCCCCACCTCAGAGCCTGGCGCCCGGCCTCCCGGCCCCTACTTTGGCCCCTCGGCCCCCTAGGCCCCTTGTTTGGCCCCTCGGCCCCACCTCAGAGATTGGCGCCCGCCCCCCCCCCCCCCCCCCCCCGGCCCCTACTTTGGCCCCTCGGCCCCCTAGGCCCCTCGGCCCCCCCCCTTGGGCCCACCGGCCCCTTGTTTGGCCCCGCGGCCCCCCAGGCTCCTCTGCCCCTATGGCGTTGCTTCGAGTTCTCCCGTTCGACCCGGAGGGTAGGCCTGTAGCATTTGACACGTGGCACGACGATCTGCAACTGTACCTACTGAGTGACAGTCGGGACAGTGTCTCGCTGTTTGACCTCGTGTCCGGTGCCGCTCCAGCCCCTCCCGCCACAGCTGACGTTTCGACTCGTTCCCAGTGGCTCTCTCGTGACGCTACTGCCCGCTTGGCCATTCGCAACCACCTGCCCGCAACAGAATGTGCTCACTTTGGCGCGCACAGGACAGCACAGGCCTTGTACGACGCTGTAGTTGCTCGCTACTCCTCCCCTGCCACTGCTGCTCTTGGCAGACTGCTACTGCCCTACCTGTTCCCTGAGCTGTCGGCTTTTGCCACAGTAGCGGACCTGGTTACCCACCTGCGCACTAGCGACGCTCGCTACCGCGCTACCGTTCCTGCTGATTTCCTTCTCACGAACCAGCCCCCCATGTTCATCACCCTCTACTTCATAGTCACTCGCCTCCCTGACTCCCTTCGCTCTGTCAGGGACCACTTCCTCACCCTCGACCCCACTTCCCTCACTGTTGACCTCCTCGAGCAGCATCTCCTCGCAGCTGAGACTAGTGCAGTTGCTGTAGGTGCTGCTCGTGGCACCCCGGGCTCACCTTTCTTTGAGGGGTGCTCCCCCTCCCCCCTTTCCTCCTCCTTCGCCTCTACTGCTGCTGCAGACGTCTCTGTTCCTGAGTACGTCGGTGCTGCTTCGACTAGTACGAAGCGCCGCAAGAGCAAGCGAAAGGGTGGCCGGGGTAGTGGAGGAGGCAGCGGGGGTGGTGGAGGTGGCAGTGGGCATGGCAGTGGGGGCAGCAGTAGAGGAGGCGGAGGCGGTGGAGGTGGTGGCGGCGGTGGAGGCAGCGGAGGGGGTGGCGGCAGTGGAGGCGGTGGGACCAGTGGTAGTCGGTCTGGACCTCAGCGTGGAGGCCCTGGTGGTGGTCGGGGCCAGCAGCAGCAGCGTCGGAGCGAGACTCAGACGCCTCAGCAGCTCCGTGAGTGGTTGTTTCAGCGTGGGGCGGGCGAGGGTAGTGAGACCTGCCCGTATGTCATTCGCACGGGTGCCCGTGCGGGCAAGACATGCGGGCGGTTTCACACTGAGCGCCGCTGCTTTGCCCGCCTTGACGACGCCTGGCGCACTGAGTTTGGTGATGACGTCGAGCGCCCTCGCAGAGCGCAGCTGCTTAGGTCGGGAGTTGCCATCTATGACCTAGACTTTCATGTTATTATCTCTGCCATGTATGCTTTGTCTTTTAGTGCTGAGGGTGACTGTTACTGGTGTGTGCCGCCTGACCCAGGTATAGCCGCTGCTGCTCTAGGTGCTAGTGCGTCTGGTACTCCCCCTGGTACTGCACCTGCTGAGGCCCAACACACCTTCACGTTAGACTCCGGCGCCTCGCGCTGTTTCTTTCGTGACAGCACCACTCTCACTCCTCTTCCTGCACCTATTCCGGTCAGATTAGCCGATCCCTCTGGGGGCCCGGTCGTTGCCAGTTCCTCCACTGTCCTCCCGTGTCCGGCGGTTCCGTCCGGCTCTCTGTCAGGTCTTCACCTCCCCTCGTTCTCTACGAACTTGGTGAGTACCGCTGCCCTTCAGGATGCGATGGTCACTACCACCACTCCCGAGGTCAGCGTGTGTCGATCTGCACGTGCACGCGGACGGGGCGTCACCTGGCTACGTTCACTCGTCGGCCAGGGTCGAGTCTGTACACACTGGCTACCGAGCCTCCTCAGGTCGCTGCGTCTGCTCAGGTGTCCGCGTCAGGTCAGGTAGCCGCCGCTTGCTCGTGTCGCCTCCTGTCGCACCAGACTCTTCTTTGGCACCACCGCCTGGGTCACCCCTCCCTGCCACGCCTTCGTGGCATGCACTCCCGTCTCCTTGTCTCTGGTCTCCCCAGGTCTCTGCCTCCCCTGCCGCCCTCGCCTGCCCCGCCCTGTCTTCCTTGCGTCGAGGGACGGCAGCGCGCCGCTCCTCACTCCTCCTCGTTTTCCCCGACGACTGCTCCCCTGCAGACCCTCCACATGGACGTGTGGGGCCCAGCCCACGTCAGTGGACAGGGCCGCGAGCGCTTCTTCCTGCTGGTAGTTGACGACTACACGCGATACACCACAGTCTTCCCCTTGCGCAGTAAGGGTGAAGTCTCTGTTGTCTTGATCCCTTGGATCCGCACAGTCCGTCTCCAGCTGCGTGCGCGTTTCGGCCAGGACCTTCCTGTCCTGCGTCTGCACTCTGACAGAGGTGGTGAGTTCTCCTCCGACCTCTTGCGGGACTTTTGTCGTGGGGAGGGCATCACCCAGTCGTTCACGCTTCCGGACTCCCCTCAGCAAAATGGGATTGCTGAGCGCCGCATTGGCTCGTACCTCCATGATTCATGCGGCCGCTCCCCATTTTCTGTGGTCGTTTGCGGTCTCCCCCTACCGCTCTGCCCCTTCCCCGCCCCCGACGCTTTTTCTTGCTCCCGGTCCGCCTCCGGTAGACCCCCTCCCGCCCCAGGGTCCTGCTCCCTCGGGAGTGTCTCAGGTAGACCCTCTCCCTGTCCAGGTAGCTGTCGTCTCAGGTGCTGCTCCAGGTGCTGCGTCTGGGGGTGCTGCGTCTGGGGGTGCGGAGCCGGGGGGTGCGGGGTCTGAGGGTGCTGGGTCTGGGGGTGCTGAGCCTGAGGGTGTTGAGCCTGGGGGTGCTGAGTCGGAGGGTGCGGAGCCTGAGGGTGCTGAGACGGAGGGTGCGGAGTCTGGGGGTGCTGAGCCTCGGGGTGCTGCTTCGTCTGGAGGTCCTACTGGGGCTTCACCGCGACTGTCCTCGCAACAGCTGTTTGAGTGGCTTGTTCAGCGCGCACACCGACGGAGTGTGGCTCCCGGAGCTGGCGAGCCTGGAGGCGCTGGAGCTGGAGGTGCTGCTGTTACTACTGGAGTTGGGGACCCTACGGAGCCTGAAGCAGCTGGCGCTGGAGGCGCTGGAGCTGGAGTAGCTGGAGTTGGAGGCCCTGGCGCAGGAGGCGCTGGAGCTGCAGGAGCTGGAGCTGTTGACCCTGGTGCTGGAGGTATTGGAGGCACTGTGCGGCCGCGCCCGTACTTCGTTCCCCTGCCTGAGCAGGTTCTTGGTGTCCCGTGTTCTCCTGGTCTTCCTCCTCCCTTCCTGTGTCCACCGCCTGACCAGTCGCAGCCGCCGTTACAGCCAGCCTCCCCACTGCCTGTTCCCTCTTCTTACACTGAGCAGTCCGGAGGTCTTACAGAGCGTCGTGAGCCTGCTTCTCGTCCTGTCTCCCCTGTTCGCACTGCTCGTCGCGCTCCTCGTTCGCGTCCTCTTCCTGTCCCAGGCACGCACACCATGGCACTCCGTCCTTCCTCTGTTCCACTGCGTGTTCCACTGCCTGCTCCTCCTGAGTCCTCTCTTCCTGAGGTCCCTGACCCTGAGTCTGACCGAGCGCGTGCTGCCAGTCCTACTGTCGCTCGTCTCCTTGCCACTGGTGTCACTGACCCGTCCTTTGAGTCTGCTGCTGCTTTTGCTCTCGTTGCTGAGCTACTTGACTTTGCTGCTGCCTGCCGTCTCGACTACGCCTCTGCTCTGTTGCTGAGTCTGTGCCTGCCAGCCCTCCGTCCATCGCGGGTGAGTGTGCTCTTGGCACGGACGCAGAGGCGATTACGGGTCCTTACTCCTCTCAGTGGCAGGCAGCTATGGATGCCGAGATGGCATCCTGGAAGTCCACTGGCACTTACGTCGACGAGGTTCCCCCACCTGGGGTGAACATAGTCGATGGCATGTGGATCTTCAGGGTGAAGCGGCCGCCGGGTTCTCCGCCTGCCTTCAAGGCGCGTTACGTTGCTCGAGGTTTCAGTCAGCGACAGGGGGTTGACTACTTCCAGACCTTCTCCCCCACCCCGAAGATGACTACTCTTCGGGTGTTGCTGCACGTAGCTGCTCAGCGTGACTACGAGTTACACTCCCTGGACTTCAGTATTGCCTTCCTGCAGGGCAGCCTGCACGAGGAGATCTGGCTGCGCCAACCACCTGGTTTCACTGGGTCGTTTCCTACAGGTACCCAGTGGAGCCTCCGCCGGCCAGTCTACGGTCTCCGCCAGGCGCCTCGCGAGTGGCACGACACACTCAGGACTACACTTGCGGCTCTTGGGTTTGTTCCTTCTACAGCAGACCCGTCGCTGTTTCTACGCACCGACACCTCGCTGCCGCCCTTCTACGTCCTAGTGTACGTCGACGACCTCGTCTTTGCCACGGCTGACACTGAGGCACTGACCCTAGTGAAGTCCGAGCTGCAGAAGAGACATACCTGCACTGACCTGGGTGAACTGCGCAGCTACCTTGGCCTGCAGATCACCCGGGACAGAGCACGGCGCACCATCACACTGACTCAGTCACACATGGTGCACCAGGTCCTTCAGCGCTTCGGCTTCCAGTACTCCTCGCCACAGCTCACTCCTCTGTCTACCAGCCACTCGCTCTCAGCTCCACCTTCGGACGAGTCCGTAGAGCCGAGTGGTCCGTACCCAGAGCTTGTGGGTTGCCTCATGTACCTGATGACTTGCACACAACCTGACCTCGCGTACCCTCTCGGCCTTCTGGCTCGCTACGTGGCTCCTGGTAGGCACCGAAAGGTGCACTGGGATGCTGCGAAGAGGGTACTGCGTTACCTGTGCAGTACGTCGGGCATGGGGCTTGTGCTTGGAGGATGGGGTCCTGTTGTCCTCACTGGTCACGCAGACGCCTCCTGGGTTGACGACTCAGCTACGCAGCGGTCGTCGCAGGGTTACACCTTCAGCCTTGGGTCCGGCTTGGTTTCTTGGCGGTCTACCCGCTCGTCTTCAGTTCTCAGCTCCAGCTGTGAGGCTGAGATCTACGCCGGAGCCATGGCTGCTCAGGAGCTACGCTGGCTCACCTACTTGCTGACCGGATTGGGAGAGCAGCCTCGTTCGCCTCCAGTCCTGTACGTAGACAACAAGGCAATGATAGCCTTGTGTGAGGAGCACAGACTGGAGCACAGAACGAAGCACATCGCTCTGCGATACTTCCTTGCTCGAGAGTTACAGCAGCGTGGTCAGCTTCGTCTAGCGTACGTGGCCACTCGGGCCAACACTGCTGATGTCTTCACCAAGGCACTTCCGCCTGGTGACCATCAGCACTTTGTTACTGTGTTAGGCCTTGTGCCTACTTTGCCTCACTTACTTACTGCCTGACTCTGCCTCTACTGTGATCTATCTATATACCTGCATGCTTGCACTTGTTAGGGTATGATCACTGTATTGTTTGTTCTCTGTATATAACTCTGCATGTGAACTGGCCTTGTGGTCCTTTGCTTGTGCTCGGACTGTGTGGTGACTTTGTGATCCACCCTGAGCTTGCTTTGCTTTTCTTGACTGGTCTTGTGACCATTACTTGTTCTGGCTATCCCCCACTTCGCCTATGGGGGTGTGTCAAACATATATGCTTAGTTATATCTAGGCTTAGTTCATGTGTTTACATTTGTCTAGGCTATAGTGGGTTTAGCCTTAGGGGGTACAGAATTCTCTCGACATTCTACTTGTACCCTTCCTTGTTTCCTAGCCAATCATCCTCGCCCAAGATTCTAACATCTTCAGCATAACACCCCCAGACTGACGGACAGACAGAGCGACTCAATCAGGTGGTTGAACAGTTACTGCGTACAGCTTGCAAAGACGACGTCAGCCACTGGGACACACAGTTACCGACCCTAGAGTTCACTTACAACAACGCGTCACATGCGGCCACAAGGATTTTTTTTGTTTTTCCTGTGTTACAGACGAGAACCACTTACACCACAGCAGCCAACCACACCGGCACACATCCAAGCCGCACATGACTTCGTGACCACCATGCAGCAGCTATGGGAGAAGACTCAGCGACGTCTCACCACGATGCAGAACTCCCATAAGAAGTATGCCGATCGCCAGCGGCGTGATCATACGGTAGCAGTCGGAGATCAGGTGCTCCTCGACACGCGCAACTTGAACCTGTCTCACCTACCATCCAAGCTTTGAGCTCGCTTCTATGGTCCTTTTCACGTTGAGGCACACGTGACACCAGTAACATTCCGCTTGCGCTTACCTACTACGTGGAAGCTTCACAATGCTTTCCATGTTCAGCTACTGAAGCCCTACAAGGGCCCCAACCAATAGTTCCAGGTACAGCAGCTACCGCCACCACCACCTGTTCTCATACACGATGAACCAGAGTACGAAGTGAAGCGCGTTCTCACTCATCGGCGCCGCGGCGGCAAGACCCTCGAGTTCCTGATACGCTGGAAGGGATATGACCCCACTGAGGACAGTTGGGTTGCAGAAGCTGATATGGGCAACGCACGCTGAGCTCTCAAGGACTATCTTGTCAAGCAGAGTGTATCTCACGGCACCCAGCTTTGAGGGGGGGACGTGTGAGAGTACGTCAGCTTATGCTGGCTTTACTAGCTTCCCTGAACTTTATTATGCTATTAATAGCTTGGGTTTTATTTACCATGCATAGATATGCTTGATTTCCTAGGTTAGGTGCATTCCTATATTCTATTGTAGTTATAGCACTGAACCAGGTTACGTGTACCAATCTCACGCCTTTTCGGCTGCCACCGAATTGCTTTCTACTGAGTTCGGGAAGGTTCTGTTCGGGACGCTTTGCGACCCTCAGAAGATTCGCATAACACCTGGGTAACTGGCCTAGTGTCGAGACTATATATAGCCTCGTGTTGTACCCAGGTGGATCATTCAATTCAAAATCTCTTTTTTGAGCTCGATCCTAGATCCTCACTCCTGATCTCCGACTGCTACCGAGTGATCTCGTCGCTGTCGATCTGCACACTGCTTCTGGGAGATCAGCATCATGGTGAGCCGTTGCTAAACCTTCTCCCATGGCTATTGCATGGTGGTGACGAAGTCATGTGCGGCTTGGACGTGTGCCGGTATGGTTGGCTGCTGTGGTGTGATTGGTTCACGCCCATGACACAGGAGGACAGGAGATTTCCCTATGGCCGTCTGAGATGCATTGTTGTAAGCAAGCTCAAGCGTCGGTAACTGTAGATCCTAGTGGTTGATGTCGTCCTTGCATGCGATACGCAATAACTGTTCAACC